GGGCAGATCAGGACAGACCAGAGCGGTATAACGGACCGCGCCTGGTGTGACAGAGCCTGGCAGACCGGCAGGCGGCAGATCAAGGCAGACAGGGCAGATCAGGGCGGACCAGGGCAGATCAGGGCAGATCAGGCAGACAGGGCAGATCAGGCAGACCAGGGCAGATCAGGCAGACCAGGGCAGATCAGGGCAGATCGGGCAGACAGGGCAGATCAGGCAGATCAAGGCAGACAGGGCAGATCAGGGCAGACAGGGCAGATCAGGGCAGACCAGGGGAGATCAGGGCAGATCAGGGCAGATCAGGGCAGATCAGGGCAGATCAGGGCAGATCAGGGCAGATCAGGGCAGACCAGGGCAGATCGGGCAGATCAGGGCAGATCAGGGCAGGGCAGATCAGGGCCAGAAGGCAGACAGGGCAGATCAGGGCGGACCAGGGCAGATCAGGGCAGACCGGGGCAGATCAGGGCAGATCAGGGCAGACGGCGCCCGCGCCCTGGGACAGGCCGTCGGCTTGAGCGTCGAGTATGCCGCAGATCCGCATGCAAGGCGTGATAGGCACACGAGACCGACGCGTGATAATACAGCTAGCTGGCGGACAGCAGGACCATAATACTTTCGTGCATTTTATGGCCCCGCAGACGGACGATATGCAACAGCCCAAATAAAAAAAGCTCGACAAACTGATAAAGGTATATCACGCCTGATAAGCTATACTGTCATTGCATAGCGCAGGCGTCGGTGAATGATCGTGTTTATGGCCCAGCAATCGTCATAAATCTTACAGAAAAAATCCGTGTCGCCCGGTGGGTCACTGCCGATAGGGTCGAGTTAAGGCCGGTAGGCATATCCGGCAGTCAACGGGGCGGTCGGAGTACAAAGAGCCGGGTTAGCCCCCGCACAATACGCGGCAGGTACACCAGAAGACAGCGCCTGCAGCCTCAGCGGCAGCTGGGACAGCACACCACGCCACCAGGACGACGACCAGCACGCGCCAGGCCGCGGGGCGTCGTCGCACACTAGGCTACATAGCAGCACGTGTTAGTGGCCACAGCGGAGCGAGGTCGCTCCAGCGGCAGAGACAGCGGGGCGAGGTCGCTCCAGCGGCCGAACCCGACAGTGAACGACACACGCAGCGGCGCACACGCGCTTACGGGGGCCGGGGAAGGTGGTGTCGGTGTCGACGATGAGGCTGGCGCGGCGGCCTCGCTCGTAAATGGGATCGCCTGCAATGGGGGCAGCCCGTGCCAGGGTCTTCACGGCAGCGGCGGCGCCTCCGCTAAGCGCCTCCACGCGGCGCACGCGACTAGGCACCGATGCGGGGCGCGGCCTCGCTCGTTTTTCTATCAGGGTGTTTGTTGATGATATAATGCACGGCATTGAAACGGCCAGTTGTGAGAACCGGCATACTCACCGACCCCGTATTCCCTAAAACGAGTCGGTTACCTGATCCGGAGAACCGACCCCCGTGTGGGGACGGAGGCCGGGTCGCTATCGCGATCGGGGCACGCAACACTGCGGACCAGGGAGTGGCGCACAAGGTCCGGGGCTTTGGGAACGGACTCGTACACCGGGCGGCCTTATGTATGCATGCTGACGTCATGGACAAGTTGAAATTGCCATCGAATGGCCACCGCCTCGGGTGGAGTTTTGCATATCTTTAGAGGCACCCGACCGCGACGCAACATCTGTTATGAATCCCTCCGCCAAATACCACAACATCGCCAAAATAAATGCAAACAGCACGCATGTCCGCTTCTTGAAGAGCCCTTGTCTTCGGCTCCCTGTGAATGTGTGGCTACGATACACCGGTGCACGTGTACTCTAGTGATCAACGACCATATTCAGCTATGAACTATGGCTTGCATTACGCAGTATATCAAAACTAGGATTTACCTCTTCGATAAGCAAATGCGACAACTGAATACGTGGCAGCTAAAAAGGCTCTGGCCACCCTTCAAGGCAGAAATATCGGCTGCGTCTGAATCTGGGCATGCCATGGCACGCGGAGCTGTTTACGAGCATAGTGGTCTAGTCAGACAGCGATGCATGCCTCAGTGGCGACTCAGCAATCAGTCATAATCAGCTGCCAAAACAGTCCTTGAACAGGAGCAAGGAGTGCCACCGTGACGGCCCATTAATCACAGGAGAGAGCATGCAAGAAGCTATGTTCCATAAAGACGGTCTTTGGCGTGGTATGGCGTCCGCCCGCACCCGCGCATGCACGTGTCAGGAGACAGCGATACCGAAAACTTTCTTACAAATATCTGCTTCAGCATCTCGAAATCACGAAATCTGTCCCGCATTATGCAGCGTTACTTGAACATTTGAAGTTGATTGGCACAACAGCGACATGAGATGACAGAGAGTGGGAACTTCGGATAGCGAGATTTGTTCCAACTTGAGAAGTGAGCATCGTTGTCTCGCTCACAGCAGCGCCTTCTCGGTCTCCATTCCACGATAATAATGCTCGAGGCTACTTGCATGAAATAATATTGTTATGAAGTGTCGCATATTGTGCACTGCCTCGTGTATGCATACGGAAATACATGTACATTCTCTTTACTTTAAGAGTATTCTTAATGATATGGTAATAAAAGGAAAGTCAGAGAGGGAATCAAAGTAAGCAAAATCTTCACATAAGCTCATATCAATAAAGGCATGCAAACCATAGTAGTAAAATATTGCTTAAATTTTTTTCAAAAAGTCTGAAAACGACCCGAGTGCTGAACGGTCCACTATAAGAAGAGAAGAATCCTACCAGGCATGCAGATAATGATGTAAAGAGGTGCGAGGACGTGCTACTGAAAGACATGCCAGTGATGTGTGATGATGCGATTTTAGAGGAACTGTCCGACACTCTTTAGATTCAAATGTATACGCATAAAGGAGATACAGGAAAGAAACCCTCGGCTGCTGTCTTCCGATGTGCTAAAAAGAAGACAAGCTCCTACAAAGTGTCCCAAAATTTCCCACGATGATCTAGACCATGCTTTGAATATTCATTAGCGTCACCTGTGCCCATCCTCAGAGTAATTTACTCTCTGGTCAAACCTCGAGACGCCGGTACGCCTGTCAGCCTATGAAATCGATCAAAGGGTGGGTCACCGCGCCAACTACGGCCCAAATCTAGTGGAAATTCGATGCAAACGCTGTAGTGACCCTGCCGCGTGATTTTGTGGGACAGCTGTTTCAACAAGCCCTCCGACGTCTGACCGGTGGCCATAACGCCAGTGGGCCGTGTTTGGCACCTCGTGCAGGACCTCAACATGTGATTTAATGACACATAACTGGGCAAACAATCATGATGGGGTTTGGCGCCCGCGGCGGCGCTGCTTTCGGGCCTATCGCACGCCGTCTTTACGTTTGCAAACGTCACATCCCCACCCAAGGGTCAAATGCGGCATGATGTGCTGGGCTCCACTGCAGCCCTCTCACGCACTTAAAATCCACCAGAACAACGAATGTTCATAAATTTGGGGCGGCCTTTGGACATAACTGACAACCCCTTCATGATCCATGGTCCCCCATATCGTCCACGTCTAAACCGAACAGTTCCTTTAAAATCTCAACTGCAAACTGTTGTGTAGCGAAGACTGATTACATCAATCCGTCTACATACCTTTAAGGTCATCATCCTGCTCTGCTTAAAAAAAAAACAAACGGCGATCCTTATTGAAGCTTTCAGGTCCCGGCACGCCACTCCGCAAACACGTCTGCAGGTGACGTGTTCAAACAATGTCCACTGCATGAATGACGTCATGAACGGTCCCCGGTTCTCAGACACGAGCACATGGCCACGTAAAGGGTCGTAGACATTCGTCGTAGCGCCACCGCTATCCGGCACAGCTCGATCCGGCGGCGGCGGGGCGAGGTCCACTGCAGGAGGCAGGCACACTGTTTACACAGCGTCAGCACGCGTCTGGGTCTGGTAGGTCACTTCGTGTATGACAGCACTCGGGAAGGAAAGGCAACAGCCAGCGAGACACTGACATCGGCGGACTGGTGCCGGTAGCGCTCAGCGCTCGTTAAGAAAGCGCACGTGGCAGACTGCTATCCATGCCGGGAGTTTACACACTAACGGCTTTTTAGCGAAACTGATACGCGTCCGGCTGGAGTTCAAGGGCTGACAGCTGAGGATCAGTCAACAATGCGCTGGCTGGCCACTATCTAAAGACGCTTTTCAGGAAACATTCCGCCGGAAACGGGCTCAGTCAGCCCGCCTGCGCCATCGGCAGCAGATGCAATTTTCAACAAATTCACCTCGGCATACATCTGTCTGGCGATGGCACTTAGCCCAATCAGAAAAAAACGTAAGTTGCTAAGTGCATTCGCATAGAATATTATTCATGTACATAAGACAGTATTAACAGCCTTAATCCTTACAGAAACACCACGAGAATAGCGATATAGATGTGATATTCTGCCTACATGCCTTTGACGAAACGAATATCAATAGCAAAATTCAAAATTCCATATCAGTTTTGCAAATTGCAACAAAGGAAACTATAGCATATTTTGAATTTGTTTCTGATATTCGTTTCGCGAAAGCCATGTAGCCGAAATACCCCACCTATCCCTCCATTCTCCTAGTTATTCTGCGAGGAATAGGGCTATTAATAATGTCTTATCCATACAAAAAAGGCCCATTCGGAAAAACGGCCTGCTTGCCTTTTAATGTCGCGCACTGCAATGCACAGGAACCGGGACCGAGTGGTCTGCCCTGATAGCCTCCCGCATCAACCATCGTCTGAGACCCTAGGCCTGACGTGCGCGGTGGACAGCACATGCTCCTCGCGCCCGGTCTCAGCGGCACAGACGCCGCTACGAGTGCCACGGGGCCGCGCAGGACACACCAACCCCGTCTGCGAGCCCGGTTAATCCCGTGCCGCAGCGCTGCCCGAACGAATCCATACCGAACTGCCTCCCTAGGCAACCAACGATCGGCCCGGCGCTAACGCGGCCGGCCGCCCACAGGTGGCAGCGGCGTCGCCGCTACTCACTCGGGCGGTCGTCGTCACCATCGCGGTTCTGGTGCCGGTGGTGACGGCGGCGGGACCGGTGGTGCGGCCGGTGGTGACCCGAGGGCGGCGGGTTCACGCTCACGAACAGAGTGTGCGCTCGGTGACCTGCAGGAGGAGGGGCGGTCAGACAAGATCAGACGGACGACGCGGGGCTGTCATGCGACATTGTGGATGTCATGCCCAGCACCTCCCTACCAATGACATGCCAATCAAAATCACACGCACCTTTTGAGCACCATAATTGCTTAAAGCCGTGCCTTGGCTCAATGATACAGATATCGGCATTGGCATATCTGATAGCTAAAATGAGCTCATATTGCGTGCTGATGTTGGCGTGGGGCAGAGTGCACTAAACCCAATGCCGGTCTTCCATTTTTAGCAAAAATAACAGCCCTGTGGTTTCATCACTTTTAAATCAATTGTCTGCGAAAATCATTGACATGCAGCTTAATTTCAGCTAGCGCTGTTTACCATTTCAAAGGCCGATATCATGTCTGCACACAAGGGACAATCAGCAGCACGAGGCCTTGCAGGCGTGTCATCTATCATTCTAACTTCCACACACGAACATCAATTAATCAGTACATCGCATCTGATTCGCTGCGCTGTTACCACTGCCACCGGACCGCCTCGTTATCCAGATCATCACAAGCTCGTGCTTCAGCGCCGGGGTGGCGTGCCCGCATCATCAGACGGCGCCCCTCCCCGCCACTCGCCCCGAACCCCACCCCACCCCACCCTGCCGGCGTCACCCGAGCCCGGCCCGCGCGGGGTTGAGGTGCGGTCGGGTGGGGCATCGTGACGTCACGCCTGTCACCGGCCGGCGTGTGACGGCGCGCGCACCACGTGGCCGGCGGCCAAGCCGTGTCACGCAGCGCCAGCGTCGCGGCCGCGCAGCGCTGCAAATGGTACGGCCGGCGCGCCTGGGAAGGCCGGCGCTGGCGGCAGCTGGCTGGCGGCTGTCCGGCGGCGCGGCGTGGGGACAGGAGCGGAACAGCTGCTGGACCCACCGGGACGTGTCGTGGGGGCGGGGCACCCACGTAGCCCGTGCCGCGGTGTGACCTGACACTGACCCGGACGTGACCTGACCATGGCCCCGGGTGGGACCTGACCCTGACCTCGGGCGGGACACCTAGTCGATCCCACACATGGAAACGCGCCACAGAGAAGAGCAGCACGACAGAATATCTGCAGTGTCTAGGTTCCTCAGCGTTGTTAAAAGGTTGGCTCAAACACCACATGTTCCGCTAACAAATGTAATTTTCATGGCAAACAAAAATTTGCTATACACAATGTGTCATTTCATTACAATGGTGATTAGAGCACGGAAACTATCAAAACACTCTTGCTCATCAGATTCATGCCAAAAGCAGCCAGTCGGTTTCCCCGCACATGTTCATTGGCCAAGGACCACTGGGCCCGGCGGACTTCCCAATGCGTGGCTGCAGTTGTCACTCGAGAATCGGGTCACAGGAGTTACCCACCGCCTTCATGCCATCAGCCGGGAAAACGCATGACTTTTGTACCACAACGTGAAATCCGCTAAAGTTACCCATGCGAGTTAGGCTATCGTGTAAGCCCCGCACACGCGGTGGCATGACACGAGCGCACCGGCGCAGTGCGCTGGCGCGCGGGAGTGTCCCGAGAAAGGTACGGACTCTCGACAGGGTCTGTCCGGTACAGCGCCGCGCCGAGGTTCGGTGCACTCCCCCCCCCCCCCCCCTGGCTGGGATCTCGGCAGGCCAGGCGGACAGGCTGGCCAGGGGCACAGCCGGAATTCCTTATCGCGCCTACCAATGCTAAGTTCGTATTTTTGCTCTCTGCAGCATGTGACTGAGTCACAAGAAACGTGCGCAAACACATGACGCGTGTTGCGAAACGGAGATATAACGTGCCTTTGCCTCCGCTCATAACTTCACGGGCAATTCTGTACTAATTTCAATGAGTTGTTCGACACCAAATCCCACGGACGATGCCCCTAATTCCGTCCGCACTGCAGCGTCACCTGCGGCCAGCACCCTCTTCCCCCGTCCCCCTCCCCCCGCCCCCCCCCCCTCGCTGTCGACATCGGACGTCATCGCTCCAGTTCCGCTGCATACGTCAGTGCGGCTGACGCCGTGGCGGCCCGGCCCCACGCTGCGTTCACGCTCGAGCGAGCGCCCCCGGGGGGGACCGGGGCCAGGCCTTCGGTCTGACTCCGGAGATACGGCAGAGCCGCGCCTGAGCGTGCGGCGCGTCGACACGGGACGCAGGAGGGCACGGCAGGCACGGGCGCAGCTTCCATAGAGGCCGCGGGGGTGGGAGGAAAACCAGATTTGTCTCAAGCGGGGTTCCTGCAATATTTGATGCCTTTTAAACCGCTATCGGTGGTTGTGGCTTCATGCCTGCGATTAAGGCTGCCCGAACATAGATACCGCCCAGCCAAGCGGGCCCCGGACCTCCCGGTTTCGCTCCTCACATGCAGGCCAACTTTCAGGCCTGTGTACGGCAGATGAGTGGCAAGACAGCTTAGGCTGCCGTGGGTCAAAGCCGGCGTTTCTCCACCGTAACTTCTCAGTCTCCCGGCTCTGTGCAGTTCACTGGCTATGCCCAATCAGGGCGTGGCCCGCTTGCGCCGCCAGCTGTGATTGGTCGGCTGCGTGACGGCGCACAGGCGTGATCTGGGACGGGGCCGCCTCCGCCGGCTCCTCCTGGCCAGGCCTGGCACCATGCTGGCCACGGAGACAACTTCCCAGCGGGGCAACGAGGCCGGCATGGAAAGTAAATTGCGGGGGACGGCCAGCAAGAAATCAGCCGAGAATTTGGCCTGGTGCCGCTGGGTGCTGTCGTGCCGTTCGTCTAGGGTGGCTCAACTGGAAGAATCTGTGCAAATGAATTTCTGACGCCTCGTTGCGGCGATGCCTATTTTCCCAAACACTGACAAACTACGAACAGCGGCGACGAAGCCACCGCACCTATCAGCGTGGACATCACAGTGCAGTCGGCCCCTTGCAGCTAATGCTTCTCCCGGATCCGCCGGCCCGTTATCGCGCCCTCCCACCGGCCTGTCGCCCGTCACGATCCCGTTACGCCTTGTGGCAGCAGGCGTCACCGCCGACCAGACGACAGCGTCGCTCCCCACGGCCGCCGTCCTCGCAGTCTGCCGCACCTGTGTACGTCGCTCTCGCAGCGGCGCTCCCCACGGCCGCCGTCCTCGCAGTCTGCCGCACCTGTGTACGTCGCTCTCGCAGCGGCGCTCCCCACGGCCGCCGTCCTCGCAGTCTGCCGCACCTGTGTACGTCGCTCTCGCAGCGGCGCTCCCCACGGCCGCCGTCCTCGCAGTCTGCCGCACCTGTGTGCGTCGCTCTCGCAGCGGCGCTCCCCACGGCCGCCGTCCTCGCAGTCTGCCGCGCTCGTGTGCGTCGCTCTCGCAGCGGCGCTCCCCGCCAGCCGGTGTCAGCCGGTGGTGGTACTCCCCGTGAACCCGTGGCGCCGGTCATTCCGTCGCGTCGCGTCGCTCGTGCGCGCGCGGGTGCTCGCAGGGATGTCGGCGGCGCTCAGACTCGTGACGCCACGTCACGAGGCTCCGCGGCTTCAGCGTTACGGCACGTGACGCTGAGCGGGTGGGCGAGACCGAAGCAGCTCGGGGTGTTGCGCGGTAGGCAGGGTTTGTGTCGCGCTCCTCTCCGGCTGTCCGCTACGAGTGTAGCGGGCCAGTCATTAAGATAAGGTCGATTTGACGAGTCACCTTCATGCCTCCGCTACAAGTTAGAGGAGCTTGATTGACAGGCTGCTGAACCTATCAAGTGTGCACACCGCAGCCATCAGCTAAAAGCTTTGCGCCGGCCTGAACCAGCCGCACCTTACGTCCCCGAGGAACCGACACTTTGCAGCCGGCCCATCCCGACAACCCGGACTCCAGGCACTCCGGTAATGTGCCACACTCGGGAAACGGGCTGGCATAGCTACGTCTAGGAAGTGGACCGCACTGCTAGTGGCCCCCCCCCCCCCCCGACCACACCCCGCCCGTCCGAAGGCCCCCCCACTGCCCCGTCTGGTGCGGTAGTGACGTCAGGGTGCTTGTTTCGCAAGCGATCACGAACCCCGGATCGGATGCCTTGATGGCGGCCGATGATCTCCGTCACCGACCAGTCAACTCCGGAGTGTAACAGGGGAAGCAGCCAGTCCACTCCGACCCACTCCCACTCCACTCCGGCTCACGTCCCCTCGGACAGTCATCAGTTCACTCTGATCATCAGTCTGTCCACTCTGACGCCGGTCCGGCCGCCGTCCACACCTCCGCTCATCCACACGGACGTCGCTCGCACCCCCTCGCGGTCGGGTGCACGTCGTTCAGTCGGCGGCGAACAGTTTATGGGCGCCCCTCAACCGGGCCTGCTGATGTCCTCTGTCCGGCAAACGTCCGTCACCTTGACCCCAGCGCCGCCAGGTCCGTTCACCCCGCAACCGACCGCGGCGGTCAGAGTCGAGGCCACAAAATACGCGACGCCGGACGCCGGCTCGGCCGCGTCGGAAGCCGCAAGAAATAATTAAGCACATGTTGGCTTGGGAACCACCGATTTTCAAAGGTCACGGCCCGATAATTTGTTGGCAACTCCCTCGCAAGAGATTCGCTTGAAACTTGCAGGCGAATCTATTTGTCCTGCACGAGCAGCACATTTAGGAAGTTAATTGGAGCTTCAAGTCTAGCCGCCTACACTTTTGCCACCCCGGACCGCAACATGAATTCCGAGAATGCCGCTCGCAGGGAACTCATACTGCCGCCGTTCCATGGAATATCTCGCAAGACGTGCCGCTCTCACAGCGATAAAACACTCAACACAGTATGCCCTTGCATTCAGCGTGGAAGTGCCCTGGTTGGGTCGGCATGCCCCGAGGGAGCTGTTTAACAGAGCTCTGAACCCGCCCAGCTTCCGTGTCTCGCAGACCATGACCCGCCGGCCAGCGTGCGACCGGCACTGAACCCGACCCCTGCCGGAGGCCGTCGCACCGGACGGGCTTCACCCAGTCGCTAACCCGGGCCGAGCAGCATCTGGCAGCCGGTGGCAGCCCTGACGCACGCCCGCACGCGCCGACCGGGCGCGGTTACCGATGGCCACCGGCGCCTGCCGATGGCCCGCGGCGGGCGGCCGGCGACCGACGCGCACGGAGCGGCGACCGGCGGGCGGTGATCAGCGACGGAGACCACGAGGGACCTGCATGCGAGTGCGGCACAAGTGGCCGGTGACGGGGACATAGTAACGCGTGACCGGCGGCGCATGACCGTTGATCGCCGCCCCTCCCGACCCCCTGGAACGCGGCACCGCGACGGAGAATGCTGGTCGGCGGTCAGCAGTGCAAGGCCGAGTCATTGACAGGGGTTGGCCCGTCGCCTGGCAACTCGTGACGTCACAGGCGGGCCGTGACGTCAGCCGATGCCGTCCGGTTCGACGGCGGCTCTTGGCGGGCATCGTCTGCAGACGAAGGTCGTACCACCTTCCGGTTGGATTAAGTCCCCATTTTGGAATGCTTTAGCACGCAGTATGCTACTGACAACTGGTCTTACAGTGGTTGCAAGGGGAGATGCCAGAATGACAGACTTAAAGTCCCAGTCGTTGCGTCAGCAGGGAATATTAAAGAATAACTTCTGCCAAAACACTGCAGCGTTAAGACCAAGTGGTTTGCGAAAGAAACCGTGTGAAGCAGCAGATTTCTGCAACATTTAACGAACGTCAATAAAGCGCATTTTGATGCCCAATCCATAAGGTTTGGACCGGGCGCTGGTTTACTTTTCAGAAAGTGTCAACATCTTTCAATGAATCGAAAAAACGGTAAAGTATTAAACTGTGACACTTAAGACTACACAAGAGGTGTTTTTCCGACGCGGGTTTCATCAGCAGCGGGAAAGTCAACAACTCCTGTCAGTCAACACAACTCCTGGTGTAAGAAAGAACTAAACCACGAACGTCGGGTATCAAACTCATCGCATTCAATCACAGCAATTGACAAAAAAGAAAGAAAAAAAGGAGCTGGCACGGACAAAGCCTCCAAGGAGCCCACAGGGCGATCAGCCCTGCTCAGGTAAGTCCAGCGATGAGCAACACACAACGCTGTTTTGTCTTGGACTCGGTGAAAGCAGAATGGCACGGCGTCTCAAGGACCCTTCTCCTCACAGGGCTGTGATGTTACCGTCAGCGCAAACACGGGGCAAAGGTAAGCTCTGAGAGCCCAGCTCGGTCGAGGCTGTACATAAGAAGACGTTGATGGACCTCACCTTAGGACCGTTCCGTGAAGAGTCACACCCTGAGGATGGCCTCAGCCCTTCAGGTCCAGAACTGAGAGGCTGGAGACGACCGCTAAATCCTACAAATCAGGCTGAATGCAACTCAATGTCCGGAGAACCCAGGATATTCTACGCCCGACCAAAATGAGATGCAGCCCAACAACTCATCGCATGCAACCGAGGCGATGGTGAGTGCTACCTGGGGTGCTTGTGATCAGCCGTCTCCAAGCACTGCGAGGGAGCTCGTGCCATCTCTCCGTATCCCCGCGACCCATCACGCGATGTGGGCGCGCGGCAAGCAGGGAAGGGTCCCTCACGGCAAACGACAACAGCTGGCCACGTACGCCTTCCCATGAACAACCTGAGGCAGTATCTGCAGCATGCTGGGTAGCCGGGATCAGACAGCCAGAGGAGGCGGATTTCCTGGCCGGAGCTCTCTCCCGTCACCCCGTGCAGCCCTGGCAAGATCGGACGGCCAGAGGAGGCGGATCTCCTGTGCGGAGCTCCCTCCAGCCGTGCCGTGCAGCTCTGGCAGGCGCTATCTGACGCTGCTGACGGCGGTACCTACCTTCGAAGTCCTTGTCCGTGTAGCTGTGGTGGGCACGCCCCGCGCCAGGGTCGCGGGGCGGCTCGTCGGTGTTCTCCGATACCGGGTCCATCACCCAGGGCCTGCAACGCAGACGGTCCGGTCACATGGGGACATTCATTCATAGCCCTCCCTGTCATGTCCGCTTCTCACCGCTGCGGCCTAGAAATGGCGCAGTTCCGTCACGCGCCCCTGTCCATTCTTCATCCTATCCCCCTCCGTTCCATCGCCATCCGTTCTGTCCCTCACCCCTCAAAGTCACACTAGGCTCATTACACGTGACCTGAACGTGAAACAGTTCAGTCACGCACGGCACCCCAATCACTCACTGTCACACCAGGTTCGCCACTCGTAACTGGAAGTGAGACAGCCGGACACACACGGCACCCCCGTCCCCTATCCCTCGCTGTCACACGGGGTCACCACACAGGCTCACCACACGGGGTCACCACACGGGGCCATCACACGGGGTCACCACACGGGGTCACCACACCGGCTCGCCACACGAGGTCACAAAACGGGGTCACCACGTGGGGCTACTACGTGGGGTTACTACGTGGGGTCACCACGCGGGTCACCACACGTGGCCCGGGGGTAAGACATTCCTGTCCAGTCGCACGCCTCCCGGTCGCCAGCGACGCTCGCGGCGACTTCCCCGCCACGCTCACCTCTAGCGCCGGGTCGGACAGCACAAGCACAGCGGCGGTCCACCACACACACACGCACACACAGCGGCGTCACCCCACCAGCACTCTCACCGCTGCACTGGATGTGTCGGGCAGCGCGGGCGGACGCTGCCACGTCACGTCGGAGACGCCGGTCCTCTGATAGTGTTACCATTTTGTCACACGGCGCGACCAGGCGCCGGGCATCCCGCAGCGTGGAGGCCCCCACGACATGCCGACGCCAGATCGTCACGTGACACACCCCGGCCACCTCGCGACATGCAACTGGATGATCTGAGAAGGATGGGGGAGGGGAAAGGGGGCGTGCAGGATGCAACCTGACCTGACCTTTTCCGATTCGTAAACGAACTTAAAACCGGTCTCGAAACGGTCTGAATGCACCAACGTAAACTCAAAATCGCGCAGTCTCTCACGCCTTACCTTCAGAACGCGGTCTGTGGAGTGTCACAAACATCCCCCGTTCCCAGAACTGCGGGGTAACTCAGCTCTGGGAATCATGGCGTGCGGCCGCGGTCGGGCGGTGACACACGCTGACGCTGACACATTCGGACACACGCTGACACATTCTCATGCACACTGACAAACACCAGGCCCAGCCCTAGTGACCCACACAGCTGACACACATCGCCTTGGGCCACACGAGAGCGCTGATGAGGCGGAGCTGGCACAGAAGTTTACAAATGTGCCATCATTATGTGGCACGCGGCGCTGGGAGCGCATTAATCACTGCGCGAGGTGGCTGCATGGGCTTGCCAGTCAAGGGCCTGCTAGTTCTCAGAAAGCCAGAGGACAGAGTACTCCAGGCCGGCTACGGAGCTATCTCCAGCCATGGCCCATCTGCCCCATTGAACGTGGGGAGCGTTCCACAGCTAGGTTAACGATCGTCCGATGCCTGTGCCCAACCATCAGCTAGGTTGACGATCGTCCGATGCCTGTGCCCAACCATCAGCTAGGTTGACGATCGTCCGATGCCTGTGCCCAACCATCAGCTAGGTTGACGACCGTCCGATGCCTGTGCCGAACCATTCTGAATGCTTCTTTTCAGCGAAAGTTTTTATCGAATACGAAATCCGCAGTCCGATTAATTCGCTAACGGAGCCGAAGCCAAGTGCGATGGGTTGGAGTGGGGATGGGCAACATGGCCCCGCGCCATATCACGAGATAGGTGGGAGGGGGGGGGGGGGGGTCAGCGAACCCAGATCACGCTGGATGCCAGTGAATGCAGGTAAACAACCAGACTGGCTAATGAAAGTGGACCAAGCCCAGTTGGCAGCAAATCGACGCGGCCCAGGGGGTACAAGACAGTGTTGGCAGCCAAAGACCGGATTCCTGGCCTTCGCAATTGACCCTGGCTAAATGCTAACTTATCAGCGGAGTTTAGCACCGGGAATAATTCCGACACGCGACAGTCGTGTGACCGGTCCTGCCACGGAACAAACTTTCTCAGACCAGCAGTTCTCATGGTCTCCAACCAGGGAGAGAATCTTGCTGATACCCGTTCGAGGCGCCCGAAATAGCGCGACCAAAATTATGGACCGTCTGAAATGATTGAAGCGTTTAATATCCAACGGACTCATTCATCAGCTGAGGAACGACGATTTAACGTCTTGGGAAGGCCTTGACATACCGATTGCTGTAATCTCTGGCACAGGGGGTGATTTCCAACAGTCTTTTTAATGCTGGTGATGCACATGACATTCAATGGCCGTGTAATTATGAATATTCGAGATGGCTGTTGTGACACACGGTGATACGGTTGCTCGCACTTCAACAAAGGCTAACTCGAATAGGATTTACACGCAGTTCCCCTGCTCCAGGTATTTAAGCACTGCACAGGCCACGGGGAAGCTGTTTGTTACACTCGCATCGCAAGGGTATGGAAATCGCCCAACACAACCTACACAATCAGCATCCAATAAACAAACGTCTAACTGTACCGTCCACTCTTTGCTTTTCAACCTCCCAAGGCACGACTGAATTACGTCTCCATTTCATCTCTGGTGCCTCGGCCACGGAGTCAGTGTGACATTCCACTCGCGTGGAAGAGAACAGGACACAGGTCACCCAGCGACCTTTGGCGTTGTGCAGTGTGCAAGCCGCCCCTTCCGGCCGCTGATTCCGAAAAGCTTCGCTGGAATTGGATCCGACGCCATCGCCCTGGAAGCCCCGCGAGACATGAGTGCTCTTTGTAGTAGTCGGCTCGCGTCGGAGGTATAAAGCCTGTTCCCGTTCTTGGGCCGGATGTCAAAAATTGTGGGAACGACCATCCGCCAGCCTATCGAGTGCGCATGTTCACTAGAACAGAATTGTTCCGACAACTTGGGCGCCCGTGAAACCCAATCATGATAATCGCATTCATTGATGACCGCGATCTGCTTTGGATTACTTCCTTTCGATGTCACGATATGGAGGTTCCAGTGCAGGAGCATTTCGCGAAGACGACAGCCGCCGAACACAAATCGCGATCGCTTTATCAGGATGCATAATGGACAGCGAGATTCGTACAAAACCGAAATATCCCAATGAGAATGCATGATACCGGCGCGATACCCAAAGCAGGCACACCGAGAATCGTTTCACGGGAAACAAAACGAACAAATCTATTCATGCAACTTCAAATACCCGGAAGAGATAGTGGAGGAACGCTATTGGCGCGCACTAGGTCCGCTGAAGCCACCTCTCGGCGAAGACAGAGAAATACCTACTCGCCACTCGAGCGACCAGGTCGTATCTCGTGTCGTTCTCAGTTCGGGTCCAAGATGTCGTTAACCTACTTAGGTGCCGCAGGACTGCTTCCTGGTCAAGCCACGTGAGCTACCGCTTACTCCAGCAGACCGCTACGCCTAGAAGCGCAGAACTCAGCGACGTACACGATCGCTAGCCGGATGCTGAGCCCGGACATTACATGCAGCCCGACGAGCTCGACTTACCCCTGAGCCGGCAACAGCCTGTCCGGCAGCTGGCAGCATGCCGTGCTCCAGCGGCAGCGACTGAGAGCAGATTAGTGCCCGGACGGCGAACAAATGGCCCACAGTGGTGCCATCGTTCGCCACCTTTGATGGAAATGGAGGCAGGCAGCCGGAAGTGGGCTTATAACTCAACTTGACTCCACTGAAAGTCATCTCGGGACTCGAGGGTTCACGGCATTGTGATGGCTTACCTGGCGCACCACACTCCGTCGCACTTTGGTAAGTGGTCCTCTTTTGGATCGGAAAAGGTAAGATAATTTGCCAAATCTCGTGCCTTTGACGTTCTGACTCCATTGCAAAGCAGTTCAGTTTCGACAGTGAGGGTCAAAATTTATTATTTCAAACTTAAGTCTCGAGATATAGTTGCTTCCTGGGATCAAATGATTAAGTGGATGAACATCAATTCGCTATATAGTGTGATCGAGGAACACTGGCCTGGAACAAAAATAGCACTCTAGTCTTACTCAGCCTCCGACGATGCTCACCGGGCAAAGGTAGAACGCTGACTGCGGACAACGAGCGGAAGGCTCAACGACGAGAGCACTGCGGAGAGAGGAACACGCTTCGAGAGGACAAACGTGAGCCATGCGCCACGTTTGAGTCACCGGACGGCAAACATTTGTTCGGGCTCCGAGCCGACGCCGGAGCACCCCATTTGAACGTCACGCAGCGTCGGTGGGTTGCTCTGGCCGGTACGTCCGCGCCCGCCATGTCACCCCCTCCTGCCCAGTCACCGGGTAACGAGGTCAACGGCCCGAGGCGGTTCCGGCGTCCGTCTCACGCGCCAGGCCAGAGTCCGACGGCCAGGCGTCTGCTCTCGTCGGGGGTCCGCCAGTTTTCCCTCGGCTCCCGTCAGGCGCCGGGTAGCAGTCCTATGAACCTGACAGTGGCCTCCTTCTCCTCCGTCACCATGGACCGCGATGTCCACAGCCTCGCCACACTCCGTCAGTCTCAACTCATCCGAGCTACGTGATGTCACCGTCTGTCAGATCCGTTATGCCATGGGCCTCCCTCCGTTGGGAAGCTCCGTGATGTCTCCGTACCAAGCCGGGCTCCTAAAGCCGGGTTCCCGGGTAAAACGGGTTCCCTAAAAAGCGTTCCTGTCAAAACGTGTTTGCTGCTCTTTAACATTATTGCTAGCCAAAACGTGATTTCAATTTATATCTACCACATAAGTTATTCCCAAGCATGCCCAAAAGAGTCTGAACCAATGGCCAGAAAAAAGACATACGTCTATCAATCAGGCGATCACAAAATACGCGCATGCGCCATGAAACATAGGATTAACCGGCGACTGTCGAGCAGTTGTGTCAGGTTTTAAAGCTTCTTTTTTCGCAAAGATATGTCACGGAGACAGCTTTAGCTTTTTCGCTCCACGATAAGATTGTGAATGCTAATATAATCACAAATAAGCGGCCTTCGCCTTTG